GTTCCATATATTTCCTGACTGTATCATTCCAATAAAACCATTACTTGTTTGTGATTTATTTATAAACCCTTAATTCTCGTGTAAATATCTACCATCACCCATAACTTCTCACATAATTAAACTTATGAATATTCTAAAAGTATCAACATTTTACAGTCTATTAGATTTCATGTGAAAATCTTAACACTACTGATTTATCCAGTAGGTTTAAAACTGGTGGAATCTTTTGAAAGTGTACTGTATTATTATCATATAAACAAATGCATCGTCACATTGAATAAATTAGGTTAAAGTGTGAAGCAATCATCATTAAAGTGTTCATTTATTTAGCTGCTTTGCACATAACTATTTGCTACTGTGATACTATCAATTTAATCACGATTGACGGAGAAGATCGGGAAGATGTAAAAACCTTTACATATTTAGGCAGCATCATTGATGAACACGGTGGATCTGATGCAGATGTGAAAGCGCGGATCGGAAAAGCAAGGGCAACATATTTACAACTGAAGAACATCTGGAACTCAAAACAACTGTCAACCAACACCAAGGTCAGGATTTTCTATACAAATGTCAAGAAAGTTCTACTGTATGGGGCGGAAACCTGGAGAACTACGAAAGCCATCATCCAGAAGAAACAGGTGTTTATTAACAGTTGTCTATGCGCAATACTTCGGATCCGTTGGCCGGACACTATTAGCAACAACCTACTGTGGGAGATTATTTATTTATTTATTTTAACATAGAGATATTGGTACAAGGAGGCACCAAATACATATGCGCCACACAGATCTCATTTGATATGTGTGAGGGCTGTGATACTGCCCGGGTGCCCAAACCGAAGCAGATGGTTTTCCTAGAGGGCCACATCCCGAGCCTTTTACCTGAAAGTCTAATCCACAAGTCAGTGGAGCATCGTAATGAGATGCAGTCCCATGGTAGCCGGTGACCAACGATTGGTTTATACACCTTTTTTCCTTAGGATACTAGAGCCCACGTGCACCATTGGTCTGGAATCAGAGTTTTCCAACTCCCGGAGGTGGATCCTCCGTACCCACCAACCCGGTTAAAGAGTCGGACAATTTTTTGTCCTCTTAATTTCGTAAACAACACCTAGCTGCGAGGAGGCAGTGAGTAGGACTTCCCTGGGAGTATCTGTATACGCAGGACCATGTGAGAGCATTTAGAGAGCGGGCTTTCCTCACTCTCGGCCGTACCAGGGCATTTGGAGAGAGATCAAACCAGATCCCATTGGAGGAAGAAATCAGGAAGAAGCGCCCAAAGTGGATAGGACACACATTGAGGAAAGCGCCCAACTGCATGAAAAGGCAAGCCCTCACATGGAATCCTCAAAGGCCAAAGGAAAAGAGGAAGATCAAAGAACACATTACGCCGGGAAATGGAGATAAACATGAGAAAAATGAACAAGAATTGGATGGAACTAGAGAAGAAGGTCCAGGACAGAGTGGGTTGGAGAATGCTGGTCGGCGGCCTATGCTCCATTTGGAGTGACAGGCGTAAGTAAGTAAGTAAGTACTGTGATACTATCTGATTATTTACAACAAATTTTCTCTAATCTCTTGTGTATTGATAATTTCATATGTGGTTGCCCTCTGTTCAAAAACTAACTTGCTAGTTACAATACTTAACCTTCAGCCACTAGCTTGTTAGTGTAAATCCCGCTCTCAAACTTTCACTTAGTCGCTAGACCCTTAGTTAAGTGCATAAATTTGCATTCGGCCACGAAATTGCATTAACCATTAAATTCGTTAATCTCATTGCTGTTGGAATTCCAAGCATGCTGAAGTTCATTTCAAATGTATTCTTGAATTAGAATGAATATTGAGTTAAATTAGAGCTCTGTGTATAACTTTTGTAGGTTATAAAAAGGAAGTAAAGCCATGATATATCGAAATTACCTCTGTGACATATAGAATGATGTAGAAATAGAAATTAATGAACGAAATGCTTAACTTATGGCAATTTGTTGTATTGATTGGATAAAGGTATATAAGATCTATTTTTATTGCTTCAATAAACTCAAAGATTTATATGAGATCATAAACCGATCAATTTTAGGCCACCATTGATAACCTGGAAGCACTAAACAGGCATTTTATTCTAGTGAGAAGCTGTGACCAGTGAAGTTCAACCATGTCGGATGTGACGCAGTCACCTACCGAAGACAATCGAAGATTGTTGCGCAACACCATGGACTGGTTGAAGCTAGACATTTACACCGTTGAATGTCGGCTCAGCGTTTGCGCGAGACCAAAGGTCCCATACCCAGTCCCACGTTTGGGATCGTGGACGCGCACTTCTTAGGGGTCCCATACTAGGAAAAATGGCCTTCTAGTACTTCCAGGTTTTTATTGGTGGTTTAACATTGATCAGTTCGTGATCTCAATCAAAACTCAACTATCTCCACAACCCTATAGTGAAGGTCAAAGATTTGAAGCAAAAGTACATACCATCGACGTTATACAGTGAATTAATAGATTTATATGCACAATTATACTAGAATATATCATACATTTTGCTTTCTATTTTTGAATTTAAATTTTTGATTTCCAAAATTTGGACCTGCTTTATCGATTATTTTTTTGCAAATATGTGAATAATTCAACCTTCTCTTACATGAAACGATGCTCAACGTACATACTTTCTTGATAATATCAATTCTAGACCAAAATCAAGTTGATGAATACAAAGCACGCGAAGCAGAACAGTTATTACTGAAATCTAATCATAATTCCGACTCTGACCCGCCGGGATCAAAATCGACTAGATATGAACAATCGACACATAGTGACTCTATTCGTAAAACATCGAATATCTCGAAAGAGGATAAGCCACTTAAGTAATATTTACATTTTACATAACCACTAATTTTGTTAGTTTGTATATTTTTTGATGTCATATTATGATCATTTAAGTTTTAACCACAGTGAGGGTTGCTGTTGGTGAGGAAAATACATTTGACTACACAAGGAACTAATTGGTCTGTTGGGAAACGTCATGTGTGAAATAACCAAATAAGTTCATATCTTTGAAATCACTAACTGGTCTTATCTGGGAGCGCTGAAAGACCGTTTCTTCATAGCATGGGACTCCTCATCATTGATCATCCACTATCCCACTCGTGAGAGTCGAACCCAGGACCGTAGGTCTCGCGCGCGAACGCCTAACCCATAGTTCATGCTTGTTTAAAATTTCTGTTTTACTGCTGTATGGCGGTTTATGTATCACTCATTAATAGTTCAGTTTAACTCGGTAACGAAATACAGGTTCATTTGCTTGGTTTTGAACCGCACTTTTCTCATATGTAGGGGCTCCTGATAATGCTGTCCAGTTGAAGAATTCAGATTTTGACGGAATAAATTTGGAATTCGCTATCAGTGGTTTACATTTAACCGAAAAACAGCTGGCAATCAAAAATTTAAACACTCGTATCATAATTGTTCCCACTAACTTTAATTCTGAAAGTGAATAGTAGTTTGGTTTATTATTTTAAGAGGAAGTCAAGCATATGTTGTTAGCTTTCTCTACGTGACACAATTTTACATATATAATTATATTACTTATAAGTAGCTATTGTTCTATTGCTCAATTTTCTTGCCATCGTTTTATTCGTTGAGAAGACAGTGAATTGGTCGGCTCCACCGCAATCAATTCTGAGCCGTGTCACCCAACGTCTCCAACCATTGTCTACGACAATAGCGATGGCCCCAACCTGAGGTCTTACATCTATCAATACGGCGCAATTCAAAAGTTAATGACTCCATAGATCTTGATTAATTTTTAGTTAAATCTAAAAGCATTTTCTGACCTCATTCCAGCGATCCTATCCGGTTACTTAAATATCAATATCTACATATTATTACTAATTTCATACGTAATTGATGTAAATTATAGCATGATACTCAAATCTCTGTTTAGTTAGTGAATTGTACATAATCTAAATGACGTTTTTTGTAATGTACAACTAGAAATCTACATATCACTTTGTTGAAGATAATTCTTTATTAGAAGGTACGTTTCTTATAGCAACCGTAAAGTGACTGTGAGAATAATAATATAAAAATCATATAACGGGATGCGGTTGTGCTGTATATTGTGAAATATTATAACTTTTAACTCATTAGTAACTAAACTTAATGTTTGATAATCATCGATACGATTATTTCGACTGCTTTTATTTTGCATCTTATGAACTTCCCTTTACTGTAGTGACATGAGATTTAGAGACTTGGGCTGATATACATTTTTACCAGGTGTTACATCGTTCTTAATTAACTGATTACTGTTGTTTAATTAGCTGGTTATTATCATTAGTCGTCAAAGAACTTGAACTCAAGTGCACGAACCTACTTAGATTTGGCGACTCAGTTGCTTATTCATAATTATATCATTTAGTGTTTTCTTAGATTGTCGAAAATATAGTTCTTCTTCTTTTTATATATACGGATGTTTTCTTTCCGCTTCTGTAGATGTGAACCAAATAGACCATCTGGTGGTATATCTTGGTTAAGACCGAAATTAATTGTTCGATGTTTAGATCGAAATTATTGTGGTGGAAAATATAATAAAGAGAAGGTAGTCTTTCAATATTCATAAAATTTAATTGTTTTTTTCTCACAACTAGTTAATTATTATTTCTATCGACGGTAGTCGATGCAGTTGTAAAACAGAATCTGGTCAGATAATCGAAGGTATTTTTTTAAACAAAGCATATTTTATTACTTTTCAATGTGATGCTTTTTGTAGGTCTTCCTATAAAGCATTTACAAACAATTATACCGCATGAAATGAATTCAGTTTTAATGATTGTAAACGGAGAAAGAAGTGGTCAGGTACGTAGTGTTCTTCATATTCTGTTTATCACTTATCTTTCATAATTTAGCGTAGAAAATCCGTTCATTATGTAATGTTTATTGGTTATTGTTATCTGATTTTTGCTCTTGGTTAAACTAAATATACAAAGCTACCATAAATTATTGCTATAGGCCGTCTACCCAAGCACAATTTTCTAACCGGTAAGCTGAGATCTTGTGGCTGACTGGTTCTATCTTCACTTCGATTGAATATTATATATTTCAATGCCCATTCTTAGACGATGAATTTTATAATTTTCGTAACCGTGCATTATTCACCAGGTACAATATAAATGTTACAAATAGTCCGAAATAAATCCTATTTTAATGTAACATAGTATTGTTATAACAATTTCTTAATCCTTTCAGTACTTTGTATTTTTTTAACTATCCATCCGCCACTAAGAAACTTACTTACGCCTGTTACCCCTCGCCGCCCACCAGCACTATTCATCCAACCCTGTCCTAGGCAATCCTCTCCAGCTGCTATATCCTATTCATGTCTGCTTCTAATTCCTGACAATGTGTGTTCTTCGGCCTTTCTCTTTTCCGTTTCCCTTCAGGATTCCATGTTAGCGCTTGCCTCGTGATGCAGTTTGGTGATTTGCGTAATGTATGTCCTATCCACTTCCAACGTCTTTGATGATGGTTGTAGCAGTTCTCCACGTTTCAGCTTCATGCAGTGGGACTATTTTGACGTTCGTATTGAAGATTGTGACGTTGACATTGGTTGGCAGTTGTTTTGAGTTCCATATGTCCTTCAATTGTATTAATGCGGCCCTTACTTTGCCAATCCTCGCCTTTACGTCTACATCCGATCCTCCTTGTTCATCGATGATACTTCCCAAGTACGTGAAGGATTTCACATCTTCCAGAGCTTCTCCATCAAGTGTGATTGTGTTGGCGTTCTCCGTGTTGTATTTGAGGATTTCGCTTTTCTCTTGTGTATGTTGAGGCCTACTGATCCAAAGACTGCTGCTACACTAGTTGTCTTCATCTGCATTTGTTTGTGTGTATAGGATAAAAGGGCCAGTTCATCTGCGAAGTCCAAATCGTATAGTTGCATTCAACCTGTCCACTATATTCCGTACTTCCAGTGAAAAGTGGAGGTCCTCATAATCCAGTCGACCACCAGAGGAAAGAGGAAGGGCGAGATTAAGCAGCCTTGTCTGACTCCGATCCTCTTTCGGAATGCGTCTGTCAGTTGTCCTACATGCACGGCCTTGCACTGTAGTCCGTCGCATGAGTTCGGGTAATGTTGACAGTTTTCTCAGGAACTCTATAGTGCCGAAGAAGCTTCCATAACGTTCTCTTATCTACACTGTCAAATGCCTTTTCATAACCAATGAAGTTGATGTACAGTGACGAGTCCCGCTCAATTGATTGTTCGACGGTGATCCGTAGTGTCGCAATTTGGTCTGTGCACGACCGATCTTTGCAGAATCCATTATGTTACTCTGGAATTCGAACGCTTTTACTGAGTCCTTCATCTGGTTCAGTAACACTCTCTTGAAGACTTTCCCTGATACTGACAGTAGTGTAATGCTTCTGTAGTTTTCACATTTGCTCAGATCTCCTTTCTTTGGTATCTTGATGAGGTGTCCTTTTTTCCACTCCATCGGCACTTGTTCTTCCTTTCGAATCTTCTTGATTAGCATGTAGATGATATCACTAGGCTTCATACCAACAGTGTGCTTTTAAGACCTAACACACTAAATTTTACTTCGTAGAGGAGTTCAATTATTATGACAGGTCTATAATCTATAACGAATATTTCATAGGAATTAGGTTTATTAGTGAGTATTATATTTTGTCAAACATATATCTAAATCAGTGTATATGTCTACACCTCATCTGTCCTTTTAGACTATACTTGTGTATTTCTTTCCAGAGCAAGACTAGAAAATCTTAGAAGACTTTAATTCAGTAAATTATTTGTTGACTTTAACGGACGTTTTACGATAATTCGGTTACGAAATTTCGTGATCTTCAGTCCTATTGTTGCCAAAACTCGAATAAGTATGCCTACAGTTCAAGAATGTATTAGTGTCCATACTAACTCAGCTAGGGACTTGTAGGAAAGCGATCTTGGCCTAGGTAAATAACTCACTCCCAATAAACACTGTCCACACTTTTGTTTTATCGGGTAACCCGTTTAAATTTGTTAAACACATCATAGATTATTACTCTACGCTATTTATTGCTTAAGTTTATTTGCAAGTCTACCAATATCCATATTGCGTATTTCTTGTTTCATATCACAAAGTCATATTCATTTAAATGACAACTATTCTGAAATTCCTCAATTTAATCATGATCATAAACATTGTTACAGTATTTCATTAAATTAATCAACAGTGTAGTGATAACCATTATTCTAAGTACACTTGTTAATCATCAGCATAAACTTTGCTACGTCAATACTCTAAAACAACTTACATGTAAGAAATGATTATCTCCATAGTCATAAATACCACTTGACGTTGATCGTTTCTATTTATTATAAGACCAACTAACAGTACCGGATGACCCAAACTAAAACAAATGGAGTGGAGTTCGAACTTACAACCTACTAATTAAGAACTAAGTGTTTCGCTTACTAATTCACCGTTGGATGTAAATAATAATGCTTAGGAGAATTGTTGTATAGCAAAACATCTATAAAGTATCAATAACTGTCTAATCATTTTTTCCATTTCCTTCCTTTTTGAATAGCTTGCACGATTAATTAGACGTGATAGTCGTAACCAATTAGTGGATGTAAAAACTCGATCTGGAATCCCTTTGCAATATCATTTCGATTGTGTATGTGCCATACATGATCCATTCGGTAATTGATAGAAAAAAATAATTTACGACATTCTTGAATGTTTGGAATTTTTGTAAATAGTATTTTTTTTTACTTATTTACATATAAAAATAAAAAGATCATCTGAAAAATTAGAAATGTCTATTCCTAATTGTTTCTCCTCATTTTACAGTTTAGTTTTTCTAAAGCTACTGTTGAATAAAAAAATTTAATTCTGAGATCATATAATTGTGTTTAATTGACAAACTTGGGTAAAATCATGTACTCACTAATTACTAGCTTCGAGAGGTAATTCTCGGAGTTTTAATGAGAAACCACATCCAATAAGGCTAATCCGTGTCGGGGCATTTACCTACCGCAGGCAATAGAAGATGGTCGCACAATATCGTGGAGTAGTTGAAGTTAGACTTCAGTGGTCCAGAGGTTAAGTGTTGGCACGCGAGACCAAATATCCTGGCTTTGAATTTTGCGTGTGGGATCGTGGATGCACACTGCTCACTAGTTCCATACTAGGACGAAACAATCGTCCAGTGCTTCCAGGTTTTCATTGGTAGTTTAAAATTGATCGGTTCATAATCTCAGTTAAAAGTAACCTTAGGAATTTAATATCGTCTATTAGCTAAAGCGAATCAATAAATTACAAAGTTTCTCAGATAGTGTGTCAGTGTAACAAAGAAAATAGCGTGATTAGAAATTTATGCAAATTAATAAACATTAAAGTAATATTAGGTAATGAAATTCTTCCTGCCCTCCAAAAGGAAAGTAAATGGATTTAAATTATGAACTCATAAATTTAAGAAGCTATTGTTGATAAGTCGATGTAACCATGTGACCAATTAAAACTGGATGATCTGTGATCGTTAGATTTATGCAATCATTATGAATTCTCCAAGTCTATACATTGCTTGAGATTTATGCCAATTTTAGGTAATGAACAGCTTTTGTATGCAGAATATAGTTCGAATATACGACTTATTGCATATTAACGACGGCTTTACAGTCTAATATACCTGCATTTTACTTCGAAATTTCGGGTAGTTCCGCATTATGCAAGCGATGATATACAGAGACATAGATTAACCAAACACATGAAAACTTTTAATCGAACAATTTAAGTATTTGATCAGGTTGTCTATTGACTCCAATTAATAAACCTAAATCTACTGGGCAGAATGTAGAGTGGATGTAAGTGTTCTAGAAATACCCGTTGAGATTTTATTAAATCATCCATCCAACTACGCAGAACGACAGAATTTTTCTGTGACCTTAGTTCGTGAACTTGTGTTTTCTTAGCCACCGTTTATTTCAGTTACTCAAGTGAATGGATTCATAAGGCTTTGATTTCAAATTCATGACTATTTCTGCAGTAATTTCCTTATAGCCTATAAAAAGATTGGTATCTTCATTCACTTAAGTTTCAAGATAATTTCAGATATCGACTATTTATACAATCTGGAACATCTAGTTGATCATTCTCCTACTACTGAATGGCTTTGTTGTCCGTCTCACACATCAATGCACTCGTTTATAACATAGATTGAATCAATAAGACAAAAGTAAAATGTGACAAGCAAAAAGCTCGATAAAAAACATATACTTTATAACTAGATTTATTAAAAACTAATATATCTACAGAAACATGCCCATTGTAAGTGACTGAAATTGTATAAATGTTTACTGGTAAATTATGCCATATACTAATTGTAATTAGTATTAATCTAATGATGAGGGGTATTCCTGTCTCAAAAAAGTGTTTTCGTTTTGGACATTATGATGCTTAGTATGATAATAAAAGCATCGTACTTAAATCATCTAACTTGAAGAATACTACCAAAAGTAGTAAGCGTAGCACCCTAGTAGAAACTAAGGGTTTTATAAGATAATGATCAAACTCACTGTTTATTTTGACTGGAAAATAATGAATTTTAAGATCCTTCATTTAGTTGGTGAATAAATAAAATTGCTAAGAACCCCGAAAGGAATCCATTTGCAGTTATACATTTTCCTTCTAACCAATATAAAGTGATACTTCATGTATGGTATGCATCGACAGGTAGTATGACAGTAGAAAGTGCATTTTGTGAATTCTTTTGGACACTCCATTTATTTCGGAGAGTTACATCATTCTTAGATGCCTGGTGAGCACCACAATTTCGTAATAAATATGGAGAGCTTGACGATTTTTAAACCACCTAACTTGTGATACAACTGATATTATGTTCACTAATCGTCCACGCATGTACGAATGAACTTATTGTAATCTGATTCTAAAAGACAAAATGACTCTGATAATTGGGGGCATAAATACGATGTGTGAAATACATAACTATTACAAATACACAAAATTGTAAATACTTAGTTATCTACCAATACACAGATGAAAAGTCGTTATTTTCATTAGATTCAGGTAATGATATCAAGCAATAAATAATCAGCTGATTATTGTATATTACATTAAATTACACTGATTTTCAAACAAAAGTACTTTCCAAGTCTCCTTGTAGTTTCCTAATGAAATTCTGTTTCGTCTGCTCTGTGGGGTGTTGGAAATTTCAATGAATCACTATAAACTAGCTGTTTTTGTCCTGGAAAACATCTAACAATGACTGTCTGATTGCCAACACATACGTCACTTATTTTGCTTTTTAAATACGACGATCACAAAAGCTATAGAGTTATAAATTAACAAATGAGATGCTATGGCTACTTGATATAAGTGGACGAAGAGTGATAGGGCTCGATACATGGAATATGGTAGGTCTTCAGATGAAAAATTCGTCATTCACCAACAACAGATCTAAAAGTAAACAAGACTAAATCGAAACTAGCCCCATTATCGACAGTTATAACATGTGATGATATCACTGTTTCTTCCTGCTACGATAACTTATCACAATGGAGACATGAACAGTGAATTACACACACCCTAGTTCAACAATTAGAACCCAGACGTTATCATGCAGAACCTTGGTCCTGATTACAATCCCGAAATTCCGATATTAAAAAAATTAAAAAAAACGCACCACATTGAACTATTTCAATTAAGTATAAAACAGTGTTACAAAATTGTCCTACAAATACTTAATATCAGAATGGAGATTTGTGGTAATTTTAATAGTTGAATTCATGAGATGAATAAAACCAGACCATCATGGCAAACCTGAAAGCACTGGATGGCCGTTTCGTCCTAGTACGGAACTCTTCAGTAATGCATAACCACGAGGGTTATATAAAGCAGTTTGAAGAACAAGGATTATGATTTACAGTTGATAGTTAGGGTTAGAGATTAGATTTAGGATTTTTATCACGAATTGACATCAGTTATAATGTCAAGACTTTATTTAGCCAAATGGATGAATGAATTTCGCGCCAAACTCTAAGACCTGTTATGGTAAATCTGATTGATTCGTCCATAAATTATAGTCTCATTGAAGTATCGTTTATGCACAAATAAATGGAACAAACGATAAAGAAATAGTGGTAAGTAAATGCAACTTAACAAATTTCATCAAATGCTCTTTTTAAACAATCCGAAATAATTGAACAGTCATAAATGATTCATTATTTTAATAAAGAAATGAATTATCTCTGAAAAATCTTCAATATTTGTAATTAACATAATGATTTTTATCATATATAGAATTATATACCCCATTCATACAATAATTCATCTATGATGGATAGTGGCTAGCAGTGGAATCCAGGACGAAACGCGCTTTTCGTCCTGGATTCCACTGCTAGCCACTATCCATCATTGCTTACAAATAGCTTGTGAATTAAGGTAACATCGAGACACGCACAGTATGCCAATAACAGACTGATCAATTGCAGTCTTAAACCTCAATGGGAAGATACAAGCCAAACAATACCAAGTGAATAATTCATCTACTTTTAAAATCATTCCCAATGATTCCCAATGATCCTATAATTGACCTCTTATAATTAAATATTTTTAATCAAATCATTATTTATTTTACTAAATACATATTTAACCTTGTAATAAGTCGTAACTTATTAACCAATCAAATTACAGAATTTATTGATTTAGTCAAGGTTAAATTATAATTATCCTTTTAAAATTCTGTAAAAAGAACAATAATTATTTGTTAAATCAGTTTTCTATTGGATCTACTAAATTTTATTATTTTAAAAGGGAATTTTAAAAATGACTGATTTTAATGATTTAAAATTATTAAATAAGAAATTAAATTGTGAATTAGTTAACATGAGGAAGAAGAAGAAGAAAATCCGTCAATCAAAAGTAAGTTGGTAATAATAAATTGTATCAAGTCTATCAATTCATAATTAGCTTAGTCTTAAAAAGGGAATTAATTATTCATACTTTATCCTCTTTGCGATAATTAGTTATTTTCCAAATAGATTATCTTTATGATTATTATGATGGTAATATGAAAGTTGCCCAAGATAGGGTTGGATGGAGAGTGCTGATGGGCAACCTATGCTCGTCCACGAAAAGTAACGGAAGTAAATAAATAAATAAATCTGAAAGTCAATAGACTTGAATCTACGTGCTCCATCAAGTCTTTTTCAGATTTAGCTATCTCTCTCGCTCTTATATTACAAAAAGAGTCGGTCTTTTTGTATTGGATTTTAAAAAGATTCACAAAAATTTAAGAAATCACCATCATTATCTAGTGAAGAATTACTTGAATTAGTAAAGAATATGAAACGTTGTATAATATACACTAATTGTTGGTACAATCTTCTGACTGTAACAATGAAATCAATACATGATTCACCATATTTGATGCAAGATTTATAATGAAGTATTTCTATTGAGATGATCAACTAATTGATGTTAAACCACCAATGAAAACCTTGAAGCACTGGACCGCCGTTTCATCCTATTGTGAAACTCCTCAACAGCGCGCATCCACAATTACGCTCGCAGGATTCGAACCCAGGGTCTTCAGTCTCGTGCGCGAACGCTTAACCTCTAGATCACTGAGTCGGCATCCAACAGTGTTAATGTCTAACCTCAACCAGCCCTGGGTTGCAATTCCACGAGCGGGATCGTGGATGCGTACTGCTGAAAAGTTTCACAGTAGGATGAAACGGCCGTCCAGTACTTCCTGGTTTTCATTGGTGGTCTAAAATCAATCAGTTCATGATCTCAATCAAAATTTTAATAGTCTCTACAACCCTATACTAATGAAGTATTTCTATTTGATTGAGCTTACAACAATGAATTTCAACATGTATTTATTAATTTTCATAATAATGTATTACTAGAGAAATAGGATTTCAAGCAATATTTTCTAATTCACTTAGATCAATAAATTTCTACAATCTGTTTTCTGAATATAATGTAGTCATAACCATTTATTTATTTACACTCCGCTCCATAGAATCTAATTAAAATCATTAATTAGGCTATTGTATAGACTTTCCGTTATTTTTGAACTACCACTTGTCTAAAACCATGATAACAATGAAATCTAGTTAGATAGTATGCAATTTTTGGAGAAAAATATCCATGATATTGCCTCATGTTATTGTTTAGAGAACTTGAACAACAGAACTAATATACCGATAGTATTAGGTGATTTTCTTTTTCATTACGAATTAAATCTAATATGTATTGTACATTAGTTTCCGATTCTCAGTGTACCAAAATACTATTTATTAATCTAATTATCATCCCTTTTTGTTGAGTTTATGTCCGGCTTTTTATCATGTGATTTATCCACTATTTAAAATACGACTTATACAATCTTAGCACTGTGCCAAACCAATGACGTTCGACCGGTATGGGCAGCCTAGAGTCCTTATTGGTCCTAAGTCCGCCTAGCCCGTCCACTTGAGTCCAGAACACCAATACCAGCTTCCACTATGCGAATCATATATTTCAAACACACTGTGTTTATATATTAAACAAATGGACTGCAACGCACCATCAAATAGGAAATAATATTTGTACACAATAAAGCTCAAAAGTGACTGTGAACGTGGTAGGCAGTAGTTAATAAACTGAGCATAATTTAGGGACAGTAAATCGTATAATAATAAATTATAGGTCAAAATGAAGCTTAAAATAAAAGAAATATAAGTATATATAATCTAATTATTGACTGATTATACCATAAGAATGTATAGATAATATTAGTCAATTAATATGTCTCAGAAGTTACTCGTGATTTAATCTTCGCTCGGATATAACACTTTTTAACTAGCATCTACAAATGTAACATTTTTGCTACTTAATAGAGAATCAGTAAAAGAATACGTTTTCACTGATAAGTTTTACCAGTTGTACTATCTATTACTTAGAGATTTCACTAAATATTTCAACTATCATTTTGTTGTGTTAACGATAAGTAATTCAAACAAAAATAATTAATTTTATCGATGTGTATTTACACATTTGCATAGTATGTATTCTTCATAACGTTCAATAGGATTGATAGACTTTATGATAGCTAACTAATAGTGAATTAATATTGATAACAGACTTCCTTTAAACAACCTCACAGAAAACACCATATTTTGTTTTCAGATTGTCGTTCCTAAAGTGGTCAACCGCTAATATTCATAAGTTTATGATACAAAAATAAAAAAATATTTATTAGATTGATATCTGTGATGTTTAATGGATATTCTAAGTTATTACCCAAAAATTCGAATATGTCCTACCTGATAAGAGTGGGTCATTTTATCAAGGTGGAAAGGTAGCTTACAGCTTAAACCGTTTAACTTTCAGCTTAATGTTAATCATGCACCAAGTACAGTTTGATATATTCAGCATTCACTTATACTGTTATTACTTCTTCTACTATGAGATTCGCTCTGACGATTTCATGTTGTTGTGCTGATTAAAGTATGGTCATTTGAACAGATGTACACACGTGCCAGATTCTATATTGTGTTTGACTGACGAACTGACTGGATGGTTCGGCATTCAGTAGTATAGTTTGTGAGGACTAATGATACTATATGGCCGTCCGAACCAATATAAGTGAGGTGTATTTGGAACATGTGATCTACTGATCCAAGTTCAAATGATTTAACAAATAATCCATCCCTTGAATTTCAACCATTGAATTACAAGTTCACACCCTCTCTACCAATTTTTATTTGAATTTTATCATTAGCCTATGCATGTATCACCCTGTACTTTTATAACTGAGGTACATTAGAGAACATCAAACACTTAAATAATTTAATTTTACTCCGAGTTATGGTTTTTGAACTCTTAATCACATAGAATTGTATTACAGTGAAATGTTACAAATTTACTTTAAAGTACTTTATAACTGGTAAAAATTAACATTTTTTGACATATTTTCACGTTTTACGGATTATCTTCATTAAATATGATTAATCTTATATGAAATAGATACAAACAGCTTTCACTTTCCCATAGTAAAGCATAGGTGAATATAGTGATTTGTTTGGTTAAACTATTCCATAAAACGGAATCGGTCTTGTTTATCATTGTGGTCACTCGGAAACAAGCAGTATCAATAAGTAGTTTTCATAATTCATTTACTTCATTATAAAGGCTACTTTTAATCATTCTGACATTTCAATCTAATGTTGTATAACCTTCAGTCCTAAATGAATTCTGTCGGTCAAGTTGCTATGTATCACCACGATTCAGAGCTTCCTATTGACTATATCCAACCATATAGAGTTAAAGAAAGAGGAGAACAATGTTAAGTCACTAAGATTGAACTGAGTTTATGAATTTAAAAATGCCTTTATTATTATATCAGTAGTCAGTAAGACTTTTTAACCAAGTAGTTCAGTTAATTACGAAACAGTTACTAAATAAAGAATAACGTTTTATTAAGGCGTTCCCTAAATTATTAGAAAGACAATTTTTTTAAAAAGTATTGGTCAATATAATTACTTTTATAGCTTGTCATTTAATGTTTCTTGTTATATCTGGTCGTCACTGATTGTTATGTCGGTAACGCTTATCACTTATTCTCGGAACGTGGGACCTCCGCGATTCCCACAACGCGAAAGTGAGAACACAAAGACTGGTATAAGTGAAGATTTATTAACGCCAAAACACGACGACGACTGTCAAAAATACACTCATTTATATATTGATTGTACACCCATTGTGATTAATAATTACAATGTAATCATATATATGGAAAATACTTAGACTGATAACACACCATATACTTGAGCATAGTTCATGTCAATCGAATACAAGAATATCGCATATTATACAGAATAAAATATCATGCGAGAAAAGAAAACAAATACTAGATTGAGTAATCATTACATTGAATCAAAACGGAGGTAATCTTGAACTAATCTCATAATGAGTAAATCAATCGAAAATTGACTTTTCTTTTCATCATATCAGTTTTCTTTTTAGATCAACTAGTTTATTCAGTGTTAATTTATCATAAAGGTGATCAATTAATTATCTTTGCCAACCTTTGATTTGTTAACTGCACGAATCAATATGGATCCATATTAATTCCTTATTCCAAACCATGTCGTATAAGAACAAGAGTTTCTCAGAGGCTGCCTAAGTCAAAGATGCCGAATTGGAGTATGAAACTATAGTCCATTATTTAAATGACCAGTGATTTCCTCCAGAAACAGATCCTTGCAAATTTTGATTATATATTATCATATTAGATATTAAGATAGATGCACACTAGTAATTATTAGGTATATTTATATTAATATAGTAAAGGGCAGTGATGAAGATCATAGTCAACTTATTTAATATACATGAACAGTGAAAATATTAGACACCAGTATAAATATCTCATCGTTATTTATAGTTGATGATTAGTACATAGACCTCAATATCTTCAAACTGACCTTTAAATTTCATGTAGTCCAAAATCTAAGTTGTGGCAACTTGTAATACGTTTCATTTGATTTCATCAACTCTGTGAGACAGCAATACTTACTATTTAAGGTTGGTAACAATATATAGTAGCGTAATGAACGAAGACTCGGGTATAGTAAACTGATCTTGTGTAATTAGCATAATCACACACTGAGTTTGCAAAACAATACACTGAATGCACAGTTTGCACATCTTCCTTGAATTGCCTCTTACAAGCTCTATCGTTCTTTTTTTCCTGTTACTACTCAGACTACTTTTTTCTTTCCCTTCTTCTCATGTTCCTCATCTGTCAGTAAAAATCTTACTTCCAATTATTGATGCATTCTACTTATATCTGTCCGTAGTAATAATAATAACATAAGAATCAGTTAATATATTTAAAACGAAACCTAATCAGTAATAAGAGTCATGACAACATTTGTAAATGTGACACTTTTCATGAATAATATTTATTAAGCTCATGAACTATAGGCTCTAACTTTTAATAATGTGTAACAAGATTAGAAAACCTGAGATTCTTCAGAGGAGTAAAATGATACTGTATTTTTTGTAAATTAGTCAATAATATTTTTACTATAAAGTTACAGATTATCGAGAGTTGAAAAGGTTGACCAACTAAATTCTAATTCTTTGTCTTAAGTGGTACCACACTCTCTTCTGGGCCAATTAATCACAAGTTCGATCAAATGTGACTTCATCGGTGTGCAATTTCAAAGAGTCTTAAATCAAGATTGTCTAGTTACCCAGTCAACCATGGATTTCATTGATCCTTTGGTTGAAAATAAACTTCAAAAATGAATTGATTCATTTACTTAATACTACGAACAAATGTAGGTAACTTATTTAAACCTATTCTTGATTTAAAACAATTAGTCCCTTTGATAAATTTCGATAATGCAATGAGAAGACGAAGTTGATCAGAATTATGTGATATATTTGCGCAATACATTTCGAACAATCTGATCACACATGTTGAAACGGAGACTTAAATTAGCTATCAACCAGACATTTTATGTAGCCCAACTTGTCATTATCTAAAAGACAAGGTATATGTTTCACCAAAAGCCCAAACAGCACGAAAGCGATTGTGTCACATCCCACTGTGTCTATCAATTTACACGTATGTGTGGAAACACGTACATAGGGAGGAGCAATCGTGATTTGCAATTAAGGGTGGGTGAACACATACCAAAATGGTTGCAGGAACAAATGGATTCCAACGGTCAAATAAGATCACAGGATAGACAGACATCATCCTCCATTGCGAAACATTTGATTGAGACGGGTCATAAGGCTGACATCAAACCAGCATTTGTCGTGTTATACAAAAGCCTTCAAGGGCGTATACTAAGGTTTATTGAAGCCTTGACTATACGGAAATTGAAACCCCCTTTATGTGTTCAAAAACAATTTGTCCTTACACTTAACCTACCCTGGTAATACTGATTTATTATCCAGAGTGGTAACCACATTTGTTTTTGTGTACTTTAATATTTTTCCTTTGTTATGACTTACCCTTAACCTGTCTAGTTGACTTTTTAATTTTCATATATAAATGTTCTTAACAAATATGTGTTATCAGATTGTTCGAAATGCATTGAGCAAATATATCACATAATTCTGATAAACTTCGTCTTCTCATTGAATTATCGAAATCTATTCTTGATTGCTATCAGATCTCCTAGCAGAATGGTAGGATCTTTAGATACAATATAAGTTTCAGCTTTTTTAAATTAGGTTTTTATATATAAGGTTAGAATTTTCTAGTTTTTTATATTAAAAACCCTAAATGATTACCTTCTGTTGTCATATATACATTCTGAGTGGATTATCTCGATAATTTCTTTGTAATTGACTGATCATTGAACAGTATCTAGTGTCATGTTTGTCTTGTCATTTAGCGCTGATCGAACTACCCCAATTAATTTACAACGGGTTAGTAGTTTACATGGCTCAATATTGCATGCATTAGATTTAGATTTTAGGCAGTTGGTGATATTCAGCAATATCGTAAGACTGAACTGCTCTAACAAACAATTGTAATTAAATTACTGAGTTATATGATTGTTCCTTCCCAACAGTATATAAATCGTATTACTGTCAAATAGTTATTATGTCAAACTGTTGGTAAAGACCATAGGAGTAGTTGTTTTATGGTTTAATTACAGAGAAAAGATGTATTATTTATCAACTCACCAAGAGTATTACATTTCTGAACTCTGTTTCATATCGCTTAGATTAGGTAAAAGCTTTCATTTTAATATGAATTATTTTATAAAATTCATATGTGGATGAAATGTATAAACTAAATAATATTATCCAAGTACATCCTGTAAGCGCTAGTATTATAAAATACTTTAACAGTTCGAATCAATTATCACCTGATTAGATGTAGTAAATATACTTTAGTAGTAAACTGTTCAGTGCTTACAGGTTTTCAATAGTCATCCCACACAGATTGGTTCATAATCTCAACAGAGGAAACTGATCAACCAAATTAAATGGGCAAATTCATTAATTTCACACTACCTACTATACAAAAGTATTATTGATATATAAAAATTCGCTTATTACAAACAATATTTAGCTCCTAAATTTATTAATTAGATAATGAAGACAGTTACAATGTTCTTCACGCATAGAAAACCACAATATATTCATACACTATGTACATTTTGGAAGTGATTTATAAATGAAGAACCACTCAATCTTAGAAAAACTCACCTTTATCTCTAACATTTAACAATATTGGTATTTATATTGATTTGCTAATATGAACTAAAATGACTTGTTGGTCTGGATTTAATTGGGTGGCACCAACCGAGAGTCATAAGTTTCTTCTGTCTATCCTCAAACTACCTGAATTTTTTTTTGGTGGTGTTTTGTTCTCTGAGCTCAGCTCAGAGAACAAAACACCACCAAAATCATCCACCTGAGCTACAAATCTTCTCCACCATCTCTACCTGAATTCATATTCAACATACGCGTTTATTTATTCTTTCATTTATATCAAAATGTTATATTTTAAAAAGAATATTTTTTACTAATCATATCAGTTTATAGTCACTGGAAAATATCTTGTCTTATTTCAGACTGATAGTGGATGGGGTTGGATCATAGTCACATCGTCATTCATCATTCAGTTAATAATTGATGGAACTTTTGGTGGATTTGGAGTTTTATACGTTTCCTTACGAAATGATCAGGCATTCATCAATGAAAATTACTCACAAACAATATTATCAATGCCGGGAACCATTCAACCTGGATTTTTTCTCTGCACTGGTAGTCTCTATTCATATTGTATATCGTTTGCTATTAAATGACAACAATTCATTCTTTGCGATTTTTTTACAGTGCAGTATAGAACTTTTTCTCCTCTACTAAAGAGTTGTTAAACAGAGATAGTAGTCAGATGGAAAAATAGTTAATAATTGAAAACGGTTAGTAAAGTTTACTTTTCACCAATGGATTATACATTCAAATCCCTTTTTACGTTATCATAGTATGAACAAACATGTTATACAACAGTCCGTCTAAAAAATTTATGGATGATACAAAATATAAGAAACAGGATGAAAAAGAAATAACTGAATGGTTAGGATATTCATGAACACTGATCGTTTTCTGAGGATAAAACCCTATTATTTTTTAGGTATTATTGTAGTGAACAAAAACTCGGGTAGGGAAACCAATTTACTGTTTAATGCAAAGCTACAGAGTGCCTTCATAAAATATGAAAACCATACATTGAATACTTTATTTGCACATCTTCCTCCAATTGTTCTTTACATGCCTGGTAATTCTTTCAGTTCTGTTATGATTAAAATTGCTCTCTGTTTCCCTTCCTGTTCTGTTCATCATTACTAAGGTTTGATTTGATAATTTCAAAGAAACTAAGGATCGGGTAGATTGTTATTGATGAAAATACAATATTTATAATATTCCAAGGAGTAGAAAAATTAAATTTTCTTATATTTTATGACTCAGTTTATGCCAATTCTTCAGAGAATAGATAAACAAAGTGAATTAACCCAAGTTAAAAACGCAAACAGTAACAAAGAAGAAAATACTGAGTTCGATCAACCAAAAAAACAGGCTTGACTATATTAATATCACGTCATTCCGGTCAAGGTGATTTATATGAGAAATCTTGTGTATTGAATATATATGTGTGTTAATGAGTGAAAAGTGTTTTATTTACAACGTGAAAGGATTTTCTATATATGATAATAGTGTGAATTGTGAAAAGAATCAGACATAGTAGATCGAATTGATGGTTCAAATTGGATGGATAGTAAGACCTATTCTACTGAGAGTGGTATGATTTAGCAATATATAGAAAGCTTCAGATACTCCCCTTTCTTTGAAGTTGGAAAAGCCTTTTTGTGTAATATTGGCATTTTTAATATCTACTTTATGGCATGAATTGCTATTACCGACCTAATTTGAAGTCTTTCAAGTTCTATAGGATTATTAGGTTTTGTGTATCTAAGATGTTCTGTGGCTTGAACCAAGATTTCACGAGATTTTTCTCCAATATAAAAGGCAACACAATCAAGATATCCTAAATCTTCCTGAATAGAACGTGAAGCATGTTTGCAGTTACTTCTATGTCCGACTACGGAGCTTCAGCTGGCATATTGTCAGGTCCAGCTGCTTTTCCGCCCTTGATTTGTCCAGTGGCCATCTTGATTTCTTCGACTTTTGGTGGAGTGATATCTATAGAAATGTCTATAGGCGCTGCTTCGATGTCCGATGGATTCAATGGAGCCAGTCTATTCAACAGTTCCTCGAAGTATTCCACCCATTTGTTCCTCTGTTCTTGAATTCCAGTGATTGGCTCTCTTTCTTTGTCTTTGACCTGTCTCTCTGGTTTACTATATTTCCCTGCTAGTTTCTTCGTTGTGTCATATAGCTGTCTTATATTTCCTTCTCTTGAAGCTTTTTTGGTTGTCGTTTCCAGCTCTTCCACGTGTTTCTGCTTATCGGCTCTACTGCTCTTCTTCACTTGCTCGTTTGCTTCTGTGTACTCACCTTGTGTCTCGGCTTTCTCTTCTTACTTTCTACTGTCGTTAATTGCTATCTACGTGTTCTTGAATCTTGTCCAGGGTTTCCATAGAGATCCACTCCTTATGACAACGTTTGTTGCGACCTAGCACTTATTGAAACGTTGGAGTTAGTGCTTTTTTGATTCCTTTCCAGTTGTCCTCCACCGTAGTTTCTTCCTTTTCAGGAGATCCTGTAAGGCTTGGAACCTGTTGTTGAGAGTTATCTTGAATTCGTTGAGTTTGTTAGAATTTCATAGGAAGACTGTATTGAACATTTGTACCGCCGTTTCCCCAGCTATCCAGTGTTTCGTTAGCTGTAGTTTGATCTTGGCAACCACCAAGTTGTGATCTGAATCTATGTCAGCTCATTTTCTGGTTCTTGCGTCTTCTATTGTCCTGAATATTTTAGAGACGCAAATATGATCGATCTTGTTGTCGGTAGTGTGGTGCGGTGAGACCCATGTATCTTTGTGTATGCGTTTGTGGGGAATGCAGAAACATTAAGAATTTTGTTGACTTACTTACTCCTATTACCGCGTATGGAGGATTCCAGGTAAGCGCTTGCCTCGTGATGCAGTTTGGTGATTTTCACAATGTATGTCCTATCCACTCTCACCATTCTCGGTCTTCTCTCCTAGTCCATCTCATCCTATAATATTTTCGTACCCGGTGTTGTCCATTATGACTTTTGCATTTAGGTCTCCCATCAGGATGGTCAGATCATTTCCTAGGCACTTCCCTACGATCGATTGCGGCCTCCTATAAAACTGATCCTTATAGTCTTCATTGCTTACATTGGTATGTGCATAACACTGGATAACGTCCATTGTAATTCCCTCCTCTATTTTGAAGGATACTTTGATGATCCTGGATCCATGAGATTCACATCTTATAAGTCCTTTACATGTTTCTTTGAACAGCATTAGTGCATTTTCTTCTTCATGATCAGAGTACTACAGAGCTTCTCTCAAATCTAATCGTTTTTGTCCAGATTAGATCAAATAGGTTCTATTTATTCCGCGGCTATATAATTACTCCTCCACATTGTCCAGACATTCCAAGTATCTACATTAACTGTTGCTCTGGTTTTTAGAAGGAATATCGGCTTTGTGGCTTCCAAAGAATCTCGGCTTTCACTGTAAGGGGTCGTAATTCTTCCAAATGAAGATCAATAAACTCCCAGGACAGAGTTTAAACAGTTAAGATGAATTTTTCTGGTTAGTATTTTTTCCATCAAGGTTGTTTACTACGGGGTGGATTTGCTGACCCCATGCTTGACCCTCCCTTTTTATTGTGGCTTGGAACCGGTAGTAAACCTAGATGGTCTACCGACTGAGATTAGTTGTTTTATATTATTTTTTAATTCTGTTTTTTTTAATACTCCTTGGAGTAATTTTGTTGAACCATGACGATATGGTAAAATTACAATGCCAATCCACGCCATTTCATTCAATATTATTTTTGTACTTATTCATGAATCTAAGTTCTGAGTATTTGTTCTATCAGTATTTCATTAGCATATTTTCTCTTTTTGTTAGGTGCTTTTGTCAGTCCACTTATTCAAATGTTTGGATTTCGTATTAGTGGTTGTTTTGGAGCTTTATTACTTGGTCTTGGAATGTCAATAGCAAGTTATCTAACTAATATGCATGCTATAACAATATTTTATGGAATGATATCAGGTTAGAATAATATTACGTCTTTTTTCTATCTTTATTGTTTAAATTCATAAGGAAATTCAGTTGCCCCCGGTTTTTTATTGTTTCTATTAGTCATACTCATTGTTTTCTAAGAGTATATGTTGCTTTATGAAGTAAAATATCTACAGAATACTACTTAACATACATACTTTATGTAAGGACGGCTCATGGGTGCTCAAGTTTTACGCGGTATATTAAGAATCGAAGCTCTAGATATAACACTTTATTTAACCAATTCTGCTTATTATTATTATTATTATTATTATTATTATTATTTCTGTTTAAAGTTTTCTTAGAATCAATCAAATTCTGAAATCATTTTTTTATCTTAATATATTCACAGAAATACCATTTCCCATGAAATTATATATTTGCTTTACAGTAATGATTTTGTTGAAATTTAAGTGATAACTTCTCGATAAGTTTCCATTATGAATTAATATTATTTAGTGAATTACTAAAAATTAGGAAGCTATATACGGTTATCCAATTCAATGTTTGGAATCTCTCAAAAGTTCCATAGGATCGAACTCATAGTGTTTAGATACAGTAACATCTATAATATTATCAGATAACAAAGTTTGTATATAATTTCAATTAATTTGTGTTGTATTGTGACCATTTAATGTCATCTCAGTAAGAAGAAATGAACAATATCGAGATAATTGCTTGTCTTGTATTTATTTATTTTAGAAATATCTCAAAAAAATATATTGATAAAAGCACTTCATTAGGGATAAGCTGTAACTCATCTTCTTTATAGCCAGTTTTTCTTCGCATGACAATTTTTAATTGCAAAAATATATTTGATGCATGAATTTCAACGTAACAACCTGAATGAATGACAAAATGGAATATATAATAACTACAGTAGTGGTTCTGTTTGTATTTTGTAGTACCTCGTTTCGTGGTGGATTGTAAGCTTTCCAAAAAAGAGTTATGAGTACACGTACATATCAAAAGATAATTAATCCATTCATACAAATCTAAAACAATAAAATTCACTTGGATATTTTAATTTTTTTTGAGAAAATGATGACACAAAAGTTTTAACAAGCCATTAAATGATGATCAATTTTGATGAAATTTTAAGTTTTTTAAAAAATAGACTTTCCATGTAATACTCAATTGGTATACTTTTCGAATAGTCTTACATCTTGACAGAACAGATAAATTGTGTCGACCGATGGAATCCAGAATGCACGTTTCACCCCGTTTGGTAATCATCTGTTAGATGTATCCGTGTACCAGTATTGATATTTATACAGTGACTAGAAGTCAGTACTTTTCCGTCCAAACACCCAGTCCATTATCCGCTGAGTTACTGAGTTTAGATCGTCACTAGCTTGTGCAATGTGTGTGATGTTTGTTCTATGTCATTACTAGTTCTACTTTGTTACTAGAGAAACTATTGGTTTATCTTAAGTGCTTAGTAAATTCATAATAATTAGTCTTTTATCATGGTCATACTCATTTTTTTAGGTTCAGCTTTTGGCATTCTAATGGTATGCGCTATAGTCTCAGTCAATTATTATTTTGATCGTTATCGTGGCTTAGCATCAGGCTTAGCAATGTCTGGTGCAGGTGTCGGTACATTATTAATACCAGTTTTCTACAACTGGATTATACCGATTAAAGGCTGGCGTTCTAGTTTATTATTGTATTCATTGGGTGCAAGCTTATTAACAGCACTGGCTTCATTGACACTTAAGCCATTTATAACAAGTGATGATCCCGTATTAACTGAACAATCCACTGATGTGGAAAATCCGGAACACCTTACATCTGATCAAATGTTGCTTATGAAAACGATCCCGAAAATTACTTACGTAAATGATGATGTAACTAATTTGCCTGAAAAAAATCATAATAGAACTGTTGATGTAAGTTTAGATAAATTATTTTTAACTATCTACTTCGTACACAGCCCTTTTCTTACGTTGTTTTATATAAAATTTGAAGAATGATAAATTTGAAATTCAGATTTCCCTCGGGTTTGAATTTTTCTGGTTGACATTCTTTTCAGCAAGGTTTTCTTCTACAGGATGGTGCAGTTACCCCCAAGCTCGACTTTCCTTATTTATCCCGGCTCGGGACCGAAAGGACTCTTTTACAAATAACACTATTGTGTAGTACATCAATTAACACATAAAGTAACCTCGGTATATGAGCAGATTATCGAAAATATGACTGTCTCCAATGCAAATTGTGTTGTGTACATGTCGTATGGCGACTTTAGTCGATGCATAATACTCCTATCCGTCACATTATTTATGACAGACTGATTGACTGTAACACGAACTTTGCAAGATGAATACCGAAATTATAGGGATAGCAGTAGTATTTGTTATAGTAAAAAAAATTAAAAAATAGCAAATATGAGTCGAGGAGAAATAAGATTCCGAGAAAAAAATAAAATAAGACAATATCAAAACTTGGGTTTTAGGAGTAAATAAAAAATAGATGCATATGCTCCACTGCAACTGATTTTGAACGATGTCCTAAACAGTTTCCTACTACTGTCATAATTATTGGGTCGACCCCATTCAAATAGTCCTCACCTACCAACACAGCTTGGATCATTAGTTAATGACTTAATGAGCTGATGCTTTTCCTCAGCTTATATATTCCTAGCTTTCTTCCAACCAATGTCTACGCCATCCATGATTGCATATTGATCTAGGCACTGGCTGGGTATATACAATACACATTTCAGTTACCTCAGTCGATAAACACTCATAGTCTCATGATATACCATTCAAAATTTATTTTAGCTAGTGAGAGCATTTATTTTGTTTCTAATGAGTTTTACGAAGACAAATTCATCTACATAATTGACCAGGTATAACAAATGATTGACACAAAGGCCATGGACATGAACATCCATAAACCTGTCTAGTGCAGATTGGATTATTTAACTCATCAACCAACTCCCAAAACACAAATTGATTCATTTCATTTCTAATATTTTACAGTTATGAGCTAAAAATAATCCAACTATAATTTGTAAATACGATTTTTTTGAGAAAAAAATTTTTTCATCATAATCAGAATGTATAATATTTACCTAAAGATTAGAATGAACTTAACGTATTCGGTATTGTTTTATATTTCAATGTAGTTTTTCAATGTTTAAAATACTTTAGACAAGTTCATCTTGGACAAAAAAACAAACATCAAATATTATTATTGTTAAGTAATATTACCGCCTTTGAAAACGATGAATATTTCGATGAATGATTCGAATATAGTTTTAAAACCATTCAATAATTCTGAGAGATTATAAAATATTAATTTAAAATCTTATATTAATAAAAGTCATTTAAAAAGGTTCAATGTTCTTAAGGTGAATCTAATAAAAATAATAAATACTTAATTTGATAGTAAGTAAATATATTATTTTAGGATATTTATTAGTTATAGGATCTTAATAGTTGAAATCATGAGTCAATTGAAGCTAGACCATCATGGAAAACATGGAAGCACTGGACGGCCGTTTCGTCCCAGTATGGGACTCCTCAATAGTGCGCATCAATTGACTCATGATTTCAACTATTGAAATTACTAAAATCTCCAAAACACCCCTTCTAGTTATAGAATCATTAGATATTTTGTAGTTATAGGAGAGTGTTAAACTTTTGAAATAAGGAATTAGACATATCTCTTTTGTGCATAGAGCTTAAATTTGAGTTGATGTATTGCTATGATTTCAACTGTGGACAAATTTCTGATCCAAACCTTCTGTGAGTTTGCTTATTTTTGACTTATTAAGTAATCGTGAGCTATGATTATTGTGACGGAAAGTAATTAGCGTTAACTACATGTTTAGTGATTAGGCTATTAATTAACTTATAATTCTATGTAGACAGTCATGTAGGGTAGTGATAAAATAGACATTTCAAACGTTCATGCTTTGTGTGATTAATATTATGTCCTCTACAAGGGCATATAAATTGCTAAATCTACTAGGAAATAGCTCAAAGCGGTAATTTACCACTGGTATGTCAAGGAATGGGAATCTACTGTGAAAAGCAATTTGGAACACTGCTCAACAGATATTTCTCAGAAATCTTGACAATCTGTTTTTCAAGATTCATGCTCCCATCTATCCTTTAAATCCAGTGTTCATGAGTAAAGCTTTCCTTGGAACCTTGAGGATACTTTCAGACTGACATTTGGGTTTCAGGTTACTATTAATGATTCTGATGGAGAAAGTTATGCTGTGTTAATCTCTTTTATGATTTATTAGTTCATACTACCTTTGATCGTATTATGCGACTTACATTCAGTACATGAAGACCTTCGATACTCATTAATAACTTTATTAAACGCCATAACAGCTGTATTTCTTTTGTCAGATTATTACAAGTACAATTAACTATAAATACAATTTTACAGTTTTAGTAGGTGACATCTTCATGAAAACATTTTTTATGGAATTTTCTTCGATTTCAGTTAACTTACGATAAAGAACGACAATTATCCAGTATACCATCAATGTATACTCATCCGTATTTTCTAAACATCTGTTACCTAGGGCTGTAGATCCGGACTAAAACTTTTATATACCTAATTCAGATCAACACCACTAATAAGTACTAACTACTTTTTAAGACAAATTATGAAAATAAACTAATGTAATCAACTTGTTTCAATTTCAATCAACAGATAACTGCCATTCATTCAGATTGTAAACCTGGTGATTCTGTATGTGATTTTAATGGAGAAAAAAAAGAAAGAAAGCTTTCTATTGGATTTACAGATGCTTTACGCCAGTATTTATTAAATCAAAAAGGTAATTTACTGCAAATTCTCGGATATTTTGGTTAAAAATTCAACATTAATGTTTTTACTTTTTTTTCTTTGATGGTATACATTTGTTTAAGTTAAGGGGAGTTATTATCATTGAGTGACTAACGTCATTTGGCAGATGAAAGAAAGCCACAGAGTATTGTAACGTGTATAGAAGGTCAGAGGATATTTTTGAATTTTGTTGTTTACATCATAAACTTTTGTTAGGCGATTATTGAAAGTCAGGAAGCATTGGATAGCTGTTTTGTACTATCATTCAATACCGGCTATGTTTCAGTGATTGATTAACTAAAGTCAGATCGAGATATAAACGATAATATCGGACTTTTATTTGATTCTGGTTTGGAAATTTTCAGTAATATGTACACATGGTCTAACAAAAGATTTAATTCATGACTATATTGGTTTCTAGAAGTACACAATAGCATGTAATCAATGTGTTGTAATACAATAGTCCACACCAATCAACCACAAGAGTCCTCAGTATTGTAGTTGAATCATTATTTCCAACACACAAATAATGTGTTGCTCAGTGTCTGATCCTGGTTCAGGCTTCCTATACACTAGCTTAACTGGTTACTTGGATGAAAAAACTGAAAGAGAAAGAGAGAAAGAAAGATAAGGAAACTTTATTGGCCGCACAACAGAGAGACACCTATACATTCATATATATACCCAGAAAAGGAACTTAAATCTTGGGCAATGGCATAGTTTCATCGTTTGGCCTATCTTGGATTAGCTCATTGTACTAGCAACCACTTCATGCTTAGCTCCATTAATTGCACATATCAAATTTAATCTTAATTGTTGAGAACAGACCATACTTCAAATTTTAGCCATCAATTCTTAAGTGCAAATGTTAGATATAACACAGCTCAATTAAATTTATTAATCAGTATTTAGAAAATTGTGGACATCATTTGGTAAAACAGTTTATTATATACCGATGTTTAAATGATAATCAAATATGAATAGCTGAAATCGTTTTGGATGTAAATCTACTCTCTCAGTGGTGATTTATTTTGACTAAACTCCTTTAGGTACTGTTGTGGTAGTTCGACTTAAACATGAACCTTGAGATAACAAAAGAATAAACAGAATAAAACCAACCGATCAATGGAACGAAATCGAACTCTAAATGATCTATCGCTGAGTAGTGACCAATATCATGTTTCTCTTGTCCTTTCGCATTAACCGAATTCTGTCGATCAATTGAAGCAGGATCAAATTACTCAGAGGGCACCAATTTTTTCAATACTACAGGGATACCTCGGTGACGGGTTTTAAATAACACGAAACCTAGATTCAAGGCTCCATTTTGGCCACCTCCAATCACGTAACATCCCTATTCCAGTCACAGTACATACCCTAGCCACTAGACTTATTTGTAAATATGGTAAGATTTAAACATTAGAGCATAACTGCTAGCATGGTTAGCCTTCGTGTTCAGTTTGATCAAATCGATGAAGCAATAACCATAACTGTTATAAAATAGATTATTTGTCTCATACTAGAATGAAAACATATTCTCTTTTGTTGTATTTTTCGTTTCTCACTTTATAGTATGCTTTAAATATATAAATTAGACTAGATGTAACCACATGAAGCCGAATGCTCTTGATATGCATATATTACAGAATCGGTACACAAATGAATCTCATTTCAGAATAATTTCAGGGCAAGTCCATATCAGCCGACAAACTAATAACCGTGAATAATGTATTTCAACTTAAAAATATGATTTACTGTATCCAAAAATTCCACCATTTTGTATAGCGATGACATAATTTGTTAAATATTTTTTGTAAACAAACTGATATACCATACAGAATAATGTTAGGTAAATCGGTGTCAGAACCTGTGCTTCCCGTGGTATTTGAACCTGTATTACCTAAATTCACACTATAGGAAGATATTATTTAGCCGTTTGAGCCGTAACTAATCTCCTACAGAACAGACAGATTTACAGAGTAAAATTGATAACTTTGAGATATACTTCGTACTCTGCTATATATCTCATACGAAACATGGTATCCCATGCTAAATAATCTAGAATAATTGAACATCGTGGTTAACGATGAGAACTTTAAAATGTAAATGGTTTAAACTCGATAACTATTTCAACTAATTGTGTATTTTTTTTTAGTTTTCTGTCGAACGTGAAGTGGTGGTCATTTCTTTCAGGTAGTATTGGTCTTATACATTATAATTCAATTTACTCTGATCGCCGTTTATTTTAAATGGGCTTATTATTGTTAACCGTACTAATATTCGAAAAGGTAACAATGATCATTATTACCGATAAAAACCACTATCTATTCCAACTTGCCACTAATGAAATATTCTAATCATAGTTTTGAAACAAAAGTATAGATCATTGTTTATCAGAATGATTTAATGTCTACCGTGGTGCATCAGATGATCTAACTTAGAGAATATTTTAATAAAACTAAGTGATATTAATTGAAAATAATCGTTTAACATCTACTAGGACCAACAATTTTGTCGGAAACTAACAACGATGCGGAAGATGCAGAGTCTATGGTTGGTTCAAGATTATGGAAATCAAGTCAAGGATTCAAAAGACAACAGTCATCATATATTCGTCATCATAGTCAGTTATGTCAACCTGCTCAGTCTAACCAACAACAGAAACAAAGTCACAACAAACTCCCAAGACAAACAACACAGACAACAGTTGCAGCTACAAACGATTATATCCATTCAAGTTATAATTTATCATCGACGAGAAAGTCTAGACGAAAGTTTGCCAGTCAAATATATACCCTTCTTGACAAACCAGATGCATTTTATTCAGCGAGTTTAACAAATTTAAATCCTAAAATTACTCAAACTTTTAATGAACACAAAAAATCTACAGCTTCCTCAATAAATGTAAGGGCATATTCAAAGTATCCAATAGCATCTAAATCATCTTTAATCATTTCTTCTGAAACAGTGAATAAAAATCAAATTATTAATGAGTTAACTGATAGTAATATTTCTTCATTTCAATCATTTCCTATTGCACCATTGAATCAACAGCATCAAGAACAAAATCACGAAGAATTTCATTCTTTGGATAATTCGATACATAAATCATCTCATAATGATATATATCCTAAATCCAGTATTATTGAAACAAGTATTCCGGAAGAAAACCTACTGACTACTAATAATACAAAAAATAGCACAGAACCCTACTCACCAGTATCTAAAGTGAACACAATTAAACAAAATCTAGTATTATTTGGATTTGGAATAATAAAATTATTTGATTTAAGCTTATTCACAGAAATCTCATTTTTATACTTAGTAGGTATTGGTGTTACAAGTCAGCTGGCATATTTTATTCCATTTGTCTATTTAATTGATTATACAGTTAGTTATGGGATGGAACAAGATAGTGCTGTTTTAATCGTTATGATATTAAGTAAGTATCTCTGTTTCATTTTATAAGATCATTTAAGTTTTATTTATTTTTCTTCAAGTCATGGACAGAAAATCTATTTGAACTTAGGCGAAAACTCAGCTGTTTAGAGCTAATGTAGAATCTAATTTGTCCTACAGATATTCTACCGGGACTGCAAACGCGATACTGGCAACCCGGAGTTTATGTGAAAGCTATAGTCAGAACATATGACAACTTGGCTTTAAGAGTTATTTGCTTCTAAACGTAAAAATCAATTCGACTAGTATAATAATTGTAGTCATTATGTTAAACGTATAAACATACAGACCAGTATTGGGTGTCCTACCGAAATTAATAAAAAATATGAGTTGCAGTAACGCTAATGTGATAGGATAATAATGTCCTTAAATTGACAGGTTACTTGCAACAGGGATAGTCTACTGACACATCAGATCAGGTTGACGTGGTGGGCGTTTGAGCAGCCATCTGATTGGTTAGTTATTGACATACTGACAGTAACATATTGTTTTCATGGATTACACTACTCGGTGACCTTAATTAAACCAGGATACATTGAATAACTGTTTCGTCCGATTATGGGGTTCCTCGGCAGTACACACCCATGACTGTATTGGGGACCGAAACCAAAACCCTCGGTCTCGTGCACGGGCACTAAACATTTAAATTATTGAGCCAGCATCCATTGGTGTCCATGTCTAACTTCAATCAATTAGCGATACTGTACGTTCATCTTCCATTACCTGCGATGGATAACAGTCTGACACGCCTAGGATCGCGTCTCAGAGCGAATTAATAACAAGTATGTGTTTATGATTTTCAAGGATTTTTAATTTATTTATGAAGGAATATTAAATATATATCCTGATAGATAAATGAAAGGAAAATCTCAAACCCTATACGTTTCTTTTCAAGTTGTCACATTTTTCCAAGGAACCTTTAATAGAAATATACGCTGGCTTCACACTGAAACTTGTTCTTGTTTCTATAATTAATCACACTGTTTTAATACTGTTGATAAGTATATGAACAAAGTAAATCATGAACATCTAATGTATGTTATTATTTCACTTCCTACAGAAAATTTTCTTCAGTTACAATCTGGAAAATTAAGTACGATATGTAACTGTAATAATCAAATTGATAAAAATATTAATACGATATCAGTTCCGATTTCTTCACTAAAAAAGACTATGACAAGACAATAATAGCATACAATGTAAAATCGTCATATGTTTACCATAATACATAACTGACCGTTAATCAGAAATATTATTATTAGAGATCACTTTATTTGGTGCATATTCATAAGGGGTATGTTTAATATGTAGAGTAGCAAAGCATTAAGCAGAATATTGACATATTATCAACTATTGTATTCACACGTTCTCGATTAGCTTCATCCCTTAAAGTTGAAAATGTTCTATGAAATTATATAAACTTAATTTGCTTATATTTATCTTTAATTTACTGATGATCATAAAATTTATCAACAAAAGTTGTGTTTACTAATTGTGATCAAATGCAACTCTTTACTGAGTTTACTCGAACATTTTCAAATGACAATCGGAGATTTTGGTTAAGTTACTTACTATTACGATTGATGTAGTTCTCCTCATAGGAGTAGCTCAGTTGATAAATACATATTGAACTAGTTAAGCCATGTTACATATTCTTTTTTGAGCAACCAGTTTCTCAACTTGTTCTTATCTATCTTCCTTCATTGTTTGAAAAGGGTCGAAGCCAAAATCTGATTACTTCTTATCACATTAAGTAGATAATGATCATATAGTAAACAAAACAAAATTATTTACAGTTACTTATTGTACCAACTTTCTAATGTCATTATCGTTTAATTTTCAATTTTTTCACAACATAATAAAAATCATGTAACATAGTATTTTGTTAGGCAGAATTTTTATATGCAAATATAAATTAAATGATCAATAGATAATTTCTTCGGATAAAAATTTGTTTAGTCTTAATCATTATGCTTTGTTAATGTTTTATTTACATATATACAGGTATATTCCACACACTTGGTCGAATAGCATCTGGTATTATGTCAAATGTTTTTCATTTAGATTCGGTATATTTAAGTGGACTAGCAACTTTCGGTGGTGGGCTAGCACATGTATTTCTCGTTTTTATAATTCCACATACATTTACGTGGTATTCTATATATGCCAGCATTTATGGCCTATGTAGTGGTAAGTGTATATTGAAATATTGTACATTAGAAAATAAACTGTAGATCCTATAATGGTTAACTTTTTTCCTAGTTCAACTTGCAGTTTATTTATTTAAACTGAATTAAAATACTGATGGTTATTAGATTGTTTTTTAAGAATAGATGTATTGTCACTAGTATTGCGATCCAAGGCCATCATTTTGTCCTGTTTATTACTGGTCAACTAGATATGCCTTAATCTTAGTATTTATATCCAAACTAGGAATCGAACTCACCAACTTTTGGAGAAATATGAACCCTTAGAAGTGAATTTATATCCGTTAAACAAGTTAGTGACTGTTTGGAGTTAGTAGCTCAATTGATAACGTGTTGACGTTTGAAATAATAAGTGATATGTTTAAGTTTAAGTGTAAACATCAACACTCGGCCACAGGTATATCAAGATGACAAGTCTTAAACAAAACAAAATCAACATCCTGGATTCTGCCGATAACCAAAATCCATTTACTCTCAGAAGCTTGTAACCATATTGAGGCAATCTACAGAAGATGCATACATGCCAACAAAGAGTAATCAAAATTCTGTTCCTAATATAAGCAACTAAATAATTTAAACCCTCACAAGTAATAATAAAAGTTCATTACAGAAATCAGCTGTTCACCAAATTATTTAACGCTTCATCACAAAAGTCACTAAAATAGCATGAAAATATTTTATTTAATTAATTTATCAACGTTTCTTAGATACGCTGGCAGCAAATGAAAATAGATAAGTAATATTCAGAAACTAACTCCGCCTGTAGCTCTTCTAGAGTTACTGCCGGTCCCAAGCCCGGGTAAAGGAGGAGGGTTGGGCATGGGGTTAGCGTCCCCATCCCGTAGAAAACTAACTCGCTAAAAATCGCATACCAGAAAAAATAATTCAAACCATTTTAACTCTGCCCTGAGAGTTAGAAGGTCTTCATTTAGAAGAATTATTACACCTCATGGTGAAAGCCGAGTTCCTTCGGAAGCCACAAGGCCGATGCCCCTCCTAACAACCAGAGCAAAACTTTTTGTAGGTACATGGAACGTTCGAACAATGTGGGAAACCGGGAAGACCAGTCAAGTAGCAACGGAAATGAGGAGATACAATTTGGCAGTACTGGGAACCAGCGAAACCCACTGGACCCAAGCTGGACAGAAAAGGCTAGCTACGGGAGAGATGCTGCTATACTCCGGTCACGAAGAATATAATGCTCCACACACTCGGGGAGTCGCTTTAATGCTGTCCAAAGTAGCACGAAATGCACTTGTACGATGGGAATCTCACGGATCCAGAATCATCAAAGCACCATTCAAAACAAAGAAGGAGGGGATCACAATGAATATTATCCAATGTTATGCACCCACCAATGATAGCAACGACGACATTAAAGATCAATACTACGAGCGGCTGGAGTCAATCATAGAGAAATGCCCAAGAAAGGACCTCACCATTCTAATGGGAGATCTAAACGCCAAAGTCGGAATAGACAACACCGGATATGAAGATATTATGGGACGACATGGACTGGGACAGAAAAATGAAAATGGAGAAAGATTCGCAAATCTATGTGCATTCAACAAATTGGTCATAGGAGGCACAATATTTCCACACAAACGTATACACAAGGCTACATGGATCTCACCGGACCACACTACACAGAACCAAATAGATCATATTTGCATCAACAAAAAAATTCGAAGGACAATGGAAGATGTGAGAACCAGG